AACACCCGATTATTATAGTTTCAAAGTTACAGTTGATTATTAACGAGATGACACTATAGGCTATGTTCAGTACAGCATCCACTTGCTAGGAGGATAATTAAACATATTATAAGCAGTAGTGAGCCTGGAATTAGTGCTGAAGTTTCTGTACTACCGGTATATACTTTAGAAGAAACGGAAGACCTTATGTACTGGTCGATTTATACTGGGCATCGCATAATTTCAAGGACAAGTGTATCCTATAAAACAGGAAAAACTCGAGTTAGGAAACTCAGTATACATACAGTAATCAGTGTCAATTCATGGACGATGATAATGAACAAACATCAACGCATCATTAACAAAAAAAATTACAAGTTGCAGGAAAGCCCAGAAGAAAGAAAAGGGCAAAGAAAAAGCTTCTAAAGCAGAAGAAATTAAGTTCGAAAGCGCAAAACGAATATTATAAACCAAGTTGATATAATGGAAGATAATGATGATAGAATCGAAAGAACCTCAATCTTAACCATTATTGAGGATCAGTTCGTAGAACAAACGTCACAGTCAAAGTTCGACGTATACATCGTAGATAGTATAGGAGATTTCGGTAATTCTACAAAAGTTCCTGCCTACAAATATTCTCATTTACCGAGCATCTAAATGAGAAGCAGGAAGTGTCGATATTACAGCAGCTATGGAACGATTGGGAATACGAATGGAAACATACAATTTGTCCTTCCTTTCTGATATTAATGCTACTACGGGCTTGGAGTTTGTCCAAAGGAAGATGGTGTTAATAAGGTTGAAGTTTATATATTCGAACACGATAAAATGGATACAGATTTCTTGGTCGAAGATAGTGTCCAACATTATTATGCTAAGAACTTTTAAATCTTCATCGTAATTTGAAGTAATATGCTATGCGATTCTGGAAGAATCACATAAAACAGGGGAGTAGTATATAAAGGTTATAGTTTAAAAATTTTTTTTAATATAACATTTTATTAACATCTGCTTTAACAAAAATTATATATAAGCTTTTTAATGTTGCTAGACAAAGCAATATCATATGAGTGCGTGAGAATGAAAACCTGTAACTGATCATAGTAAATCATTATAATCAGTTCCAGGTTTTTATTCTCACGCACTCATATTACTTACCATTACTATTATACTCCGCAAATCATTTTATACTTACTAATTCAGTTTGTATAAATTACTATTTTATATAAGTTATAACTTACATAGCTCCAAGAATTACAAAATTGACCGAAGTATCCAGATAAGGCTTAGGAATCAGAAAACTTTATTTCTATTCAAGAAAATGTACTACTTTCATACATTAAACGGAACGATTTACAGACGAAAGAAAAGAAAATTTCGGAATACGTTATTAGATGGGGATATTGCTTGGTTCTTGCATTGACACTGTAATCGTGAAGCTTAACAGATACAGACAAGAGGAACAGGCCTTTGTATTGTTAGCATGATCAAGGTGCCCGATGTTACTTACCAATATACCTTATCTTACCAAGTTGACCAACAAGCAATTAATAAATCACGATTGAACCATATGAAAAACCACAAAACACCTGCATGATCAAAGAACAGTATTTTTTTTATATATATGACCACGGATATCACGTGACACCATCGTCGAAACAAAACTTTGAAAATTAGAATAATATCCCCTACAAAAAAAATAG